CGCCCCCCCGGACGCGGGGCCCCGTCTCCGGGACCCCTCACCGCCGGCGCCTAAGCGGGTGCTCTGGGGGAGGCTGCAGGGCCCCCGGCTCCCGGCCCGGCCTCTAGCACCGCGACGGCCCGGAGCTGCGCGGGCCTCCCGGGGAGCAGCCCGGCCTCGCCCGCCCCGCGCCCCGGGGGCGCCTGAAGGACACCGGCCTCGGGGTCGCTCCCGGAGGGGGCCCTCCCAGAGGTCGCCGGCGGCTCCCGGAGTGGGAAGTCCAGTGTGGTTTGTTGTTTTTTTTGAAGTTTGTGTAGCTTGGAAGTACTCGAGGGGAGTAGCGTGGGGCTGGTTAATTTAAAGGAATTCCAGAGCCGACCGAAAGTATTGCTGATGCAGCCGAAGGCGAGGACAAATTGACAGCGGAAAGCACTTTTTATCCTTTTGTTTGGGGAAGCGAGAAGTATTCGGGAGTTGAACTTCACTTTTGGGGGTGGGGGTGTGAACGCGAAATACCGCGAGGACACATGTAAACGTAATCCCGCGTCCGAAAGAACTTCGGCGGAGAGCCTTCTCCCGAGGGCGCCGCCGCCTTGGCTGCTAGGACGGGAAGCCAAGACGTTTGAAAGGGCCAAGATAAAAACGAGTAGAAGTTCGCAGCAAAGCTTTGTTGGCGGAGAGCTGTGGCGAGCGAAGAATGACGAGACGATTAGTTTTGGCCAACTCTGGGATTACTTTAACAAGGTCTTAAGCAGTGACCGGGATGATTAGCGTCCGGTGGCTGTGCATTTCTGGGGACGCCTAGGGAAAAACATGACCAACAGAAATGTTTATTTTGAAAATCAAGTAGCGAGGAGTTTCTTCTGCTTAGAAGCGTCACCGGAGGACTGCTTAAAGAAAACGGAAAACTGCCCTTTATAGCGATGAGCAGGGGATTTTGGATTTTTTAGCAAGAATTTTGAGAGAATTTTTACAGTAGAGCTGGGGAAAAGGAATCTGAAGGTTAGAGTTGGGATGTCAGGAAAGAACAAAAGACCGGAAATGTCTCCGTGTTAAAAGGTGGTTCAAGAAGAATCCCAGAAGCTTTTGTTGTCATAGGAACAACTGTAAAAGTACAAAACTGTTAGCTATTACTGCGTACTTGTTTTTTTGCCTACATATGTTACGACATACAAAAGTAGCCCATATTGAAATAGGCTTTTTCCATAGTTGAAACAGCAAATCCGCTAACACGAAATTGTTCCGGAGAAAATCTGAGCTGTCCCTTTAAGGGGTTCTGCTTTTCCTATTTGTGTTGGCATTTGAAAGATTGTGGAGGCAGAAAACTTTCTGGAATGTCAAAAAAAAAAAAATTGCTGGAACTCTTAAATTGAGTATTTCCAAATGTGGGCGCTAAGGGGCGCCAGTTATTTTTTTTAAACATGAGAAATGTTTGGAGCAAAATATGTAACATACTCAGTTACCTGACCTATATTAAATTTAGTTGAAACTTAAATCATAGGTCATTTTATTTGTCGTTTTGTGTCCATATATGTATTTGAAAACTTTGAAAACACTTTCTTTCAAATTACTGGAACAGTTTTATCACATTGCAGAAGTAATACGCTATATTTTCTTCTTGGCATATTTTGGTGCAGTTGAAGTTTTGGTAGTATTAGCAAAAATTTTTGTTTTTTCTTTAAGCACAGTTGTACAGAAGGAATCCTTTATAACCATTAAAGTGAAAACAGGTTTTGACAATATTAGGGTTTAAGTTAAATTGCATTCTTTGAATTAAAATGTTGAATTCAGTCAAACAGCATAGGAGATTATTAAAAAGTTTGGAAATATTTTCTCATTTGCACTATTTGAAGTAAATAATTTGAGTTTCTCTGATTAGTTCTGAAAGGGTTCTCATTTGTACTTTTATGTTGGTCTGAAATCTCTCAATGCTAATTTGGAGTTGGTTCTGTTAAAAAGTTTCTAACCTTTGGTTTGGTAATTTTTAGTCTTCTGAATTTAGAATTCCAGTTATGTCATTATTTCTAACAAAGGTTTGTTCGTTTCTCTTCTCCTGGAAATAGTAACCATTTGAATTTTAAATGTTGGAGACCACTGGTTGAGGATGTATTCTAAATAACATATATTTTTTCCCTTTCATTATGGCATCTCTTGTCTCAGCTCTGTCTTGAGTTTTAGCCTTTTCAACTCCCCAGCGTAAAGATTGCTTCTGTATAATAGCTAGGATGTTTAAAAAGGGGCAGCATAATGACTAGGAAGTTTGATTGTTTTTTATCAGACCAGTACAAACACACAGGAAAAGGGGTTATTCCTTAGTGTGGAATAAGCTGCTTCCTGTAATTGTTAGCCTTATTATAAACGTATTTTGACTTAAGAAAAATATTGGTTTCTGAAGTGCATCACGTTTTATCCATGCTGGGTGACTTAATTCTGAAATTTGGCAAGTTGTGCTTTACCTCTTTGTGGCCTGTCATTGTCCCAAATAAATTAATCATGACTTCTGTTTGTGGTTAGGATTTCTAATTTCCTTTGTCCATATGATTGGCTGAAAAATTGTTTTTAAATTTAGTTAAAACTGTAAATTTTACTTTAGTGATTAATCGAGTTAAGATACTGTATGTACTTGGTTACAGTAGATGTGTCTTCTGATAATTAGAAGTTTTGAATGAGTAGCAATTTTGAAATATTTTTCAAAAGTAAGCTTTTGAAAAATTTCCTTGTCAGTTTGAGAGTTTTTATTTGGCTGGTTACACATTTGGGATTTCTGTGCTCTGGATTTTTTTGGTTGATTAAAACTTGAATGCTTTAGACTGAACATTTTAATTTTATGCCAAGTTAACGTTTAGCCTGTATTTTAACTATGGACTGTGAACAATCTTTTTTTGTTTTCTGTTTTTTGCGGGGTGGGGGAGGGGTTGTCAGCTTTTCTCCTAAGTATTGTCAACCTGGTTGATTTTTTTAGGTTGTGAATGCATTCTAGGTTGGGCCAGTCATATGAATGACATAACTTCAGTTGATAATTCTGATACTTAATCCTTCGTTGACAATAGAGACGATTACAGATAAAACCAAGGTTTAAAAGTGTTAAACTGCTCTGCCTTTAAAGAGAAGTTTTCCACTAAACCCTGGGACCATCCATCCATGGGAAAGAATAGCTATTACTAGGGTTTTTTTTTTTTTTTTTTTGGAACCCTTTCTTTGTCGTGAAAATGAAACTTAAGAAGGAACACAGGAACAGTATTTTTTTTTTTTTTTTTTGGAAACCTTTCTTTGTCGTGAAAATGAAACTTAAGAAGGAACACAGGAACAGTATTTGAATGCAAATTGTTTTAATAAAGTATTGCAGTTTAGAATTGAGCCGGTGTAAAAGTAAAAATAAAATCAGTTTGACTTAAAAATCCCAAATAGGGGGAAATGGAGATCTAGGGATATTAAAATTAGATTCTGATTTTTCAGTCTTAGGCAGATACGAAAATTAACAAATATATAGTGTGGTTTATGAGGAAGGCTAGCCTAAATCTTTTTATTGTGAATAACTGAAAAATCAGTGTGTGGCTCAGAAAAAGTGAGCAAACGTGTTAGATTAGAGTCTGCATTACTGATTTGAAAGACTCACTTTTTCATGGTCTTTTTTGGAGTGAGGGAGGATGTAAGTTTTCTTTTTGACCTCAATTTATTTTCTCTCCCTGTTCCCTCTCCCTTGAAAATGAGGGCAAAAAGTATTTTAAATTAAAATTTACTTTACTAGTGAACATTTTTCCATGTTAATTTCCATTTGTTATGCATTCATTATTGAATGTATAATTCTCAGTTTTCCTGCACTTCAATTTTCTTTCTTTTCTTTTTTTTCTTTAGAAATCTTGATCAATTTAAAAATCATATGGTTATTTCTTGGTATTGAGAGGAATTTTGCTGTATAAGTTTACTATAGTTTTGGGTCCCCCCTCCCCAAGAAGCCTTGTTGACAGTAACCAATGTCTGTGACAAACAAATTTTATTTAATTTGAAGTAATTAATCTGTTGTTTAGGAGCAAAGGTTGTGTTTTTGTACACACAGTCCTTTGACTTATTAGTGATAAGAAGGAAGCCAGTATTTATAATCAGTTGTTCTTTACATTTTCCTTTTTTCTCCTCACCCAGGAGGTGTCAGCAGCTATAGTAAGGTAATAATGGAAATGATAATTTGTATCACGGGTCATTTATTCAACATTTATTCTGTATTTTCGAAACTCAACTCCTGTAGGCCGGCTGTGTATTCAAAACGCATGTACATACTATGATGCAGGTGACTTCTCTTTCATAACTTTATCTAGTTTACATGCTTTGTAGTAAATCTGTACTACCAAGGATATAACGTAATTGAGTTAATGGAACTAGGTCTCTGCTAATCACATTTGCTACTGTGCTTGGTATGAGCACCTTTTCTTAAATGGCTTTGAGAAAATCAAGTGAAAACAAGTTAATTTTACCTTTTCAATGCTTTGTACGTATCTTATTTCTGTGATTATCCCCCTAGTAGTCACAGTCCTGAAGCTGATTGAAGTGCATCAGTTTTCCATAAGAACAAACGGCTTTTGGTTTACTTCTTAAGAGAAATAGATTCCTGCAACAAAAGACATGAAGTGGACCCCTCCTTGCCTTTCCTGAGCATGATTCAGATGC